CACTGTTGAGATCCTCAGAGCTGTGTGTTGAGTTGAATGTGTACTGAAGTAGATGATCTAAATGTTTCAGTGATGGTGTCTACCATTTGGAATGCTTAGCATGTGCTCATCAGTCCATTAAGCATTTTTTTAAAGATTTATTTATTTGAGAGAGAGAGGTGGGGGAGGGGCAGAGGGCAAAGGAGACAAGCAGACTCCCCACAGAGCAGGGAGCCCAACGCTGGGCTGGATCCCAGGACCCTGAGATCATGACCTGAGCTGAAATCAGGAGTCAGACTGTTAACTCACAGGCGCCCCTCACTAAGCATTTTTTTAAAAATTATTTATCATCTTGTTTAAACTTTATAGTGTTCCTGGGAGATAGGTGATATTATGCCTACTGTACAGGTGAAGAAGCTGAGGCTTAGAGAGATGGCTTGTTTGCCCAAGGCTCACAAGAAGGGACTGAGCTAGGATTTGAGTCCAGGTGTACCTGAGTCCAGGAGCCCTTTCTGTAAGCCCCTCATCACCCTGTTTCCTAGCAGCAGTCACAACAGTGCCACAGCAATGTCTCTAAGTAGATGACAACTTAGAGAAGAAGGGTGGCAGAGCATGGGTGCCTAGGACGCTGACGTCCCAGACCTGGCTTGAGACCCTGTCCCACCTCTTCTAGCTGTAAGAACCTGGGCAAGGGATTTTGATTTCTCTGAGCTTCACATTCCACATTTATAAAGTGAGTCCCCGAGTAATCATACGTGGAAGGGGAAAGGAAGAAAATGAAGAGGAAAGGAATTCATCCAAGTCCTGAGGTAGACTTGGGACAGCTGGGTGTAGTATCCCTGGGTACTGAGATAGGGAAGACTGGGGGAGGGATGGCTTTGTGCGAGAAAATCTGGAATTCCATTTTGGATATCTTAAGTTTGAAATGCCTAAAGGATGTCTAAAAGTGGCTTTGTCTAAAGCTCTATTACAAGGAATGAATGTGATAAAGTATATAAAACTCACCACAGGCCCTGACAAGTAGTCTATACCCCATAAACATTTGGTGCTTTTATTAGCAATAATAAATAGTATTACTTTTACAGAACCTCCACTCATTTTGGATCAATAAGCTTTGTGAATTGTTCAGTAGAATTTGGGTGTGTCCGTGTGAGAGAGAGAGAGAGAGAGAACTTGTTATTTAAGTCCTGGAGAGCATCCAGTGATCAGAATGAGAGAGCTTAACAGACCTCTCTAAGTCCTCGGGCCCCTGCTGTTTACAGAAGCAGTTTTCTGTCCTGATGTTGTATTTCTGATGTGTGAATGTGTTTTAGAAAAAAAAATATGTAACTGCACCATATCACTGTGCTCAGTGGTATAGTTTTTTAGATTTGCTGTTACAAATCTCTGCTTCTAGAGGGTAGAAATGGAGCTTGATAACATTCTGGTGATGTGTGAATGAGGTCCCTCCCTCAGTGTTGCAGAATGCTTCGAAGCAAACCTGACTGGTAAGGCTTTTGTGAACTTGAGGCAATTTAACTTAATTTGTTTAAAAGGTATTTTGTCTTCACTGGCTAGTATGTCTTTTGTTAATGTTTGATACTATATTTGAATCCAGGCTAGTGGGCTGTCTTTCAACACTGCAGGATACTAAATGATTCCTCTCAGACATTTATGTAGTATGCACGGCCTTCTCTGGGAGAGACTGAAATTCATGCTTTTATTCCTTATCCAAGTTAAAATTCTAAATCCTGAAAGATGGTTTCATTTTTAAAAGCAGGTGAGGTCCAATTCAATGTTCTCCGAGTTAAAAAAAAAAAAAAAGAAAAGAAAAAAAGTTTCCCAAGAATTGAGATTTGGTTGAGCAGAGCTCAGCATACTTTGGGCCTTTTAGCTAAATGGGCCTTTCAGATGATTCCAGCTGTAGATTAATCCTATTCAGACAGAACTTTAAAACTTGTCAGGAACCTTTTGTGAGACAGTAACCAATCTGCTTACTCATCGCTCAGGAAAATACCAGAGTTTTGGCTTGTTCAACAAGGTATTAATTTATTGAACAGTTACTCTGTGCCAGACGCAGCTCTAGATTCTGAATACAACAGCAAAAAAGACATTATTGTTCCTGCTACTTTGAGCTTATATCCACGAGGGAGACAAATACATTAATAAATAAAATCATTATAGTGGTACGTCCTTCGAAGAAATAAAAAGGATGCCATCCATGGTAAAGAATAACGTAGGAGAATGAGGGCCTGTCAGAAAAGGTGGCATTTATGTGAGACCTGAAGAATAACTCCGGGCCGCAGCCAACGTGGAACTAGGGGTGAGCATTCCAGGGAACAGCTAAGGCAAAGTCTCTGAGATGAGGAAAAGGTTAGAATATGCTCTGAGTTAATATAGGTAACAGAAGGCCAATGTAGGGAAAGCGTACAGGCAGGGGGTTAGGGCATCAAGTGAGACTGAAAAAAGTAGGCAAGGGATAGATGACCAATAACGGTAAGAAATTTGGATTTCATCCCAAGTGCAGTGGGAAGTCACTGAAGGGCTTTCAAGCAAGGGAACGACACAGTCTGATTAATGTTTTAGAAAAACCACTCGGGCTGCTCTGTAGAAAGTGGATTTCAGACGAGTAAGAGTAGAAGCAAAGAGACTAGTTAAGAAGCTTTTGCAATACTCCAGAGAAAAGATGATGCTGTTTCAAACAGGGTGATGTCAGTAAAGATGGAGAGATCAGGCTGAGTAGATTCAAGGTAGATTTTAGAAATAACAGGATTTGCTAACAGGCTAGTGTGGAAATCAAGGGGCAGGAAGAAATCAAGGATGTCTTCAAAGAAGCTTGAGGAGCTAGACGGTGCTATGGACTGAAACTGGGAAGATGAAGACAAGAATGGCTTTGTGGAGGGGAAATCAGGATGTAGTTCTGGAAAGTGAAATGTCTGTGAGACCTCCAAGTGGAGGTGTCAAGTAGACACTGGAGGTGGCTAGCTGGACAAGGCGGGGGGTTATTGTATTAAAAGTCAAGGACGCAGTTCTGTAACCTGGTCTGAAGTTCCGAGTCCTCCAGTGAGGGTGGCGGCTATGGACGGAGAGAGGAAGTGACGGGTGTGAGGTACCGGTATTGGAAGAAAAGAACCGACAGGATCGAGTTGTCAGTTTGGACATAGAAGGAAAAGAAAACAGAGACAGGGAAGATGACTTCAGGTTTCCTGGACTAAGAATCTAATGATGTCAGGAATCGTTGGGACTTCCTGAGAGTCAAGGAAGCACAAATGGTCCAAAATGCTAAGAAGTCCGTTCTAGAGACATAGAGTACTTTCTGAGCTGAAAGCACCTTTGCCCTGATGGTCGGCATGGATGGCATTTGGTACCGCAGAGTGGGGGAGCTCATCCTTTGTTCTGGGGGGACAAGTAGAGACAGTAGGGCAGGTGGTGGGCAGCCAGCAGTCTCAAGCTCGGAGGAGGTCGAGCCCCACAGCTCAGCCTTTGGATGGGAGTAACAGACACCAGGACCATGGAGTTTCTTGGCATGGAATGTATTTATCCTGTTTAATTATTTTAAGAGTCTTTTGCTATGAAATCCTGGAAAATGAATTTCTCTATTCAGCCCATCAGAATCTTCAGGTTTGGCAGGTTCTTTTTTAAATCTAAAAACCCACCTAGGAAAATAAAAGTCCAGCATTTCTTCTTCTCCTTCTGTTCTGTTCTAGACATTGTAAATGAAATTGGAGAACAGAGAATTTGAGCTTTACTTTGTAGGGTGTAAAATGTGATTGATTTTTGTCTTCGTTTCACTATTTGTCTTGGGATTTTGCCTCTTTCTCCTCTTGAGACCCTCTTAGTCCTCTCCACAAACCAACTGCCTCCTTAGGGGGGTTATTGTTCCTAATCTAAAGGGGGTTTCTGGATCAGAGAAGTTTCTCCCAAGATGGGGGCAGCCCCCTCTGAGTTCTTCCAAAGCCTCGCCCCTTCATAAGAGCACTGTCTGCTGTGGCAAAGTCTTACAGCAATCAGCAAGGATTCAGAGTCCTGTTTGTGGAAAGAAGAGATTATTATAGTACCCAGAGGAAGGAGGAGGGAACAAACCCAGGTTTCTGGCTCTTGCCCTTGAGCTGTAAATTCTCAAGGACTCCCATGGATCTCCTGGAATCATTGTTGGAAATCCACATTTCATTGGAAAGCTGTGTAGTTATCAGATGACCATTTCTTTGTCTTTTTCTCTTTTTTTTTCATAATTTTTTTTAAAGATTTTATTTATTTATTTGACAGGGAGATAGGGAGAGAGCACAAGTAAGCAGAGCAACAGGCAGAGGGAGAGAGAGAAGCAGGCTCTCTGCTAAGCAGAGAGCCTGGTGTGCGGCTCGATCCCAGGACCCTGGAATCATGACCTGAACCGGAGGCAGCCACTTAACCAACAGAGCCACCCAGGAGCCCCTTTTTCCTAATTTTTAAAAAAGATTTTATTTATTTGTCAGAGAGAGAGAGAGAGCACAAGCAGGGTGAACAGCGGGCAGAGAGAGAAGCAGTCTCCCCCTTTAGCAAGGAGCCCGATGCGGGACTCAATCCCAGGATGCTAGATCATGATCTGAGCCGAAAGCAGAGGTTTAACCGACTGAACCACCCAGGCGTCCCTCAGATGATTGTTTCTGATCCCTTCTCCCCCAAACCAGCTCTGATACTCTGAATAAAAACTCGGGATAAAACTGCAGAGGAATTCTCCATTTTAACAGTGTTGTTTTTCTTGTTTGGTATAAAAGAAATTACGTTTCTCCAGCTGGTGTATCCAGAATTTCTCCTCTCTCCCGCCTGGTCACAAGTGCACACAAACATGCACACACACGTACACTCACACCTCAGATGCTTTAGGACTGTACTTCTTGCAAGTGGACAGAGTGCCAGTGATGTGCTTCAGGACCAACCATACCTCCTCGCGGCTGTCCCTGGCTAAACAGCAAATGGAATTAGATACTGCTTGCCTAGAGACTTAAAAAGACCATGTTGCCTCCAAGAATTTCTAAAGAGCTGTCTTTTTTCTCCCCTTTCAGAGGGCCAGTTGAGAGTGGATGCCAATGTATCTGTGCACCATCCTGGAGAGCCTCTGGGGGTTCGAACCGAAGTGAAGAATCTCAACAGCGCCAAGTTCTTGGCCAAAGCAATAGGTGAACATCAGCCTATGTTTAATGTTCTTCTTTGTATCAGTTACCTATGGCTTTGTAACAAGCCACCCCAAACCTTAGTGCCTTATACGGTAACCGTTTCAGCTTCTGCAGTTCTACAGATTGGATCCTGCCTCAGCTCATCTATGTGCAAGATGAGCTTACTCACACATGGGGGCCTTGGGGCTGGGGGTCTGCTAGGCTTCTCTTTCCACATCGTCTTTCTTCTTTTGCTGCCTAGCCTTCATGTTTGGGGGGGATGAAGGCAGAGGCGTCAAGGCTTCTTGAGTCCCAAGCTCTAGAGCTCAGTGTCTCTCCCAACACATTCAATTCAGAGCAGATTCAAGGGGAGGAGGAAAAGACTCCACCTCTTTCTGGGAGGAGCTGTAACATGTATAGCTCTGTTTTTCCATCTACCACATTCTTGATGGCCAGCATGAACTTTATAAAGTCATGTTTATTCATTGTAGATTAGCCATAGTTTGACAATTAAGTTTGACTTAATTGGTCATTGTATTTTTCTGCTTTTTACTGTTTTTACTAATGGATTCCATGTGCCTGTGTAATGGAGTTTGGGTCTTATTGGAGTCCGTGCTGTGGGTATTTATGTGTTGACAAATACATAATAATCGTTAAAGTAGAACAGTTGAGCAAGATAAACATGCAGGCAATCCCATAGAGGTTGCTGGCTGTGAAGACATCTCAGAAGACTAAATATACTCCTTAAAACCAAAGGTATCTAGAGAGGAAGAGAGAAAGGAGGGAAGGGATAGAGTTTCAAGTGCATCCCTTCAAGGACGCACAGAGCACAAGACAGCTGAATGCATTGCTGTGTGTTTAGTAGAGCCCTAGGTCTTGTTGAGGAAAGTACTAGTCACGAGATAGGAAAGATTCTCTAGTCTTATATAAAATCTTATCCTGAACCTGCAGTCATCAGCCTCAATGAAGTTGCTCTGCATGTACAAATTTTCAGGGAAAGGGCATTAAAATGGTTAAGGGGATAACTTACGTAAGGGAAAGGGGAAGGGAAGATTCCCATGCATAGATGGACAGCAAAGAGAGCAGACTCTTCTGTCTCTCAAAGGAGATACAGTCTACGTTTATGAAGCCACAAAAGGTTTGGGTCAAGGATATCTTAACAGCCCACTTTTGTGAAGTTCGGGAAGCTTGGGATAAATGGAAGAAAGTTCTTCTTTACCCTGTGGGTAGTAAGTGTTCTGGAATTCATTATTTCAAGAGGTGGTGATGGTAACCTAAAAAAAACAAGCAGCAAGATTTTAAGTAGATTTATTCTTAATGATTTATGAAGGAGACCCCCGAGACGGAATTCTGCCTGTGGCCTGACTCAGACAGGAAGAACCGCAGATTTACCGTGATGGCCTAATTCTCCAAGCCCGTGATTTTTCCGTTCCGTTTTTCTCCCTACACCGTGCCTAGTAGTCATCATCTGATTTCAGTCAAAGAGAGCATTGGAGTTGGGGAGACAGGGAGTGAAAACTGACACATTTTAGTTTTGCTGCTGCTACTCAGCTCAGATAAGAGTTTGGATTTATATGAGGGAAGGTAGTAAGTGCTGGGATGGGGAATTAAGCTAAAGCTGCTTTCAGAAAGAAGCTTAACAGTTACGGCTATTTTGATTATCACAGTCTGCCTTGTTTGGTGGTGAGGGAGCATGGCATAGAGCTGTGGCCCTTAATCATTTGGGGTCATGGATCCCTATGAAAATTCTGGACTCTCTCCACAAAATGTGCAAGTACACACATCCACATTCTGTATCTAATTTAAGGAGGTACCAGAACCCCATGAGGTTTATCCTTGGATCACTGGATAAGAACCCTTGATAGGCAGCCATCCTGGATCTGGAGTTTCGTTGGCCTAGATACCGGTCCTAGCCCTTCTTCTGCCAAGAGTGTAAATGGGACCGGGTCACTGAGACCCTGAACTTTCTCCGAAAGTGAGGGAGCAGAGCTTCCTAAAAGACCCCTTCCACCACCACCATCGTCCTATGACTGCAATGAGAAGAGAATATAGCATATAAGGGAAGAATTATTATAAGCAACTCTCTTGATTATTTTTGACTTAAAGATTGAGACAGATTTTGGATTATTGCTTGATTGGATGAAAATATGTGAATATGTAAATTATTGTGTTTTTCTTAGACTCTGAAATTGAGAGACAAATCCACGAACTTGAGAATGGACGTGAAATTCTGAATGAAACACGCTCATTTGACTACAAGCTGGGGTGAGTTTGCATTGGCAAGCATCTTACACACAGCTGGGTGGGACTCCAGCCCGGGCTCCCCACAGACCAGCCCCGTGACCTTGAACAGGGTACTTACCTGTCTGCACTCATGCTTTCCTCACTAGTAGAATTAGGGAAACACTGTACACTACAGGGATATAATATCCTGGAGGACTGGTAAGAGGTTGAAACTGAACCAGACTTGGACATAAGTGCTGAGTCTTGCCCCTCATTTGCTTCCAGCTTATCCACTTTGTGGCAGGAATTTTCACTCCCTTAAATTCTATCGGTTTTAAGCTCTACCAATTCAAGCTAGCAGTAAAGAAAGCGTAGGGGTGGTTACGGAGGTACCCTTTTATGTTGTCTTGGTAAGTTTGACTGTAAAGTACGGACTCAGAATTTTGAGGATTTTGTGCTTTTAACAGAAGACTGACAGAAGCTCGGAGGACTTAGAGTTTGAGCCAGTTAGAAGCTGGGAACACTGAACAATTTCTTCTCTTTTTAAAAAAAATTATTCTATATATTTCTCTTTCATTAATATTTTCTCATGTAGTCATTTAAGTGTCTCTCACAGGAGGTCAAAGGGCCTGAATTTGCTTGTGTCCCTGTTTAGTAGGGAGAACTCCCCTTTGCACATATGCTGGGCCATGCTGCATCCCATGTTGGTTTAACGTTTTCCTATTTAACTATCATAGGTGCACCATGCCAATGAGAGACAAAGAAGGAAAACAAGACTACAGGTGGGTATTCCTCTTGTCAAAATACCATCATGTGTTTGGGGTTCGGGGCGAGTTTCAAATCTATTTGCAGAGTAACATAAGGACCTGGATGGTTTTTAGGCACCACTTTCTGGTTATATTGTCGCATGATGGCTTGCATGTTGCAAGCCTAGACTTCTTATTTTATATATATACTGAAAGAAAGAATGTTTTCTTGGTCTGGTAGCCTCAGAGTATCTTCTTTGATGGGATTCAGCTATTGGAAGGCACTGTTGACTCACCCCCGTGTGAGAGTGCTTATAATTGAGCTAAGAGGGTAGCAGTTGAGGATGGGGCCAAGGATGTTCTTATTCTTACATCCAGTTACAAATTCAGTAACACACTGAAAACCCTTGAGAAGAAAGGAGAAAAGAGATGCGTATGTTAATGGCATTTCCCTTCACAACTCAGGTGATCCTATTTAATTGATTAAAACTAAACAAGTTGGACTTAATATGAGATCCAGAAATAAAGCCAATAATAATAGGCTTAAGGTAATTTGAACCTCTGGTACTTTTTCCCCATTGAATTTTGCAGATTGTAAAGATTGAAGTTGTAAGCAACAAAGTCATTGGTTCCTGTGCAAAGCTCAACTCTTGCTATCCATGGGGACCCGATGTAGCACTGGGATGTGGGAGAAAAGCTCCTAAACCCTTAGCGTGGCTCTCCCCTGAAGGGCCCCTCTCATGTGTGTCTAAGTCAAGATTGTTTTCATCACTGGGAGCTTCTGGGTTCAATCTGTTCTTCCCAAGAACTTCTTTGTTCTCCAGTGTTGCCCCCGTCCTCTGTTTATGCTGCTTTCTCACTCAGCATGGAGTTAACTGTTAGGGCAGCCAGTGGCTTTGGCTCAAGCCCTCAGATTAATAGGCAGGATTCAGGAACCCTGCCTTTGGCTTCCTCCTGCCCTCAGACGTCAGACTGATTCAGAGCACAGATTTGGCATGGAGGTGATGGGTCGCGTGAACGTCTGACCTGTCACCCTGGCACCCTGTTTGTTCTGTGTTATCCTGCTTGCGCGTAAGCCCTTTGACAGGCCCAGGTGGACAGAAAATGTTAGAAGCTGGAATGGAGCAGAGGGAAAGACGTCATGTGCTGTGGTGCTGCAGAGAGTTCCCATGTACTCCCTGGTGTATACCATATACCCTGCCTCACCAGCATTGTTACCCTGATAACGTCCTGCACTGCCATGTGATTCACATTTATTACCCAGGAAATGCTGAAAACTCTGACTGAGCACACGTTCCACAGGCATGCCACAAGGAGTGTGGTACATTCGTTACAAATGAAGACTTTATTATTAACCGAAGTCCATAGTTTACATTAGGGTTCCCTCTTATTTTTTTTTAAATTTTTTATTTTTTATTAACATATAATGTATTATTAGCCCCAGGGGTACAGGTCTGTGAATCACCAGGTTTACACACTTCACAGCATTCACCATAGCACATATAGGGTTCCCTCTTTATGTTGTACGTGCTGTGGGTTTTGACCAAATGTATAATGACATACGTCTAACATTATAGGGTCATAGGGAATAATATCACTGTCCCAAAAAGCCCCTGTTCCCCACTTACTCATCTTTCCCTCCCCACTTCTACATTTTTTTTTAAGGCAAAATCTATTTCTTCCACTTCTCAAGAAAGAAAGTTTTCTTTTTCTTTGGCTTTTCATTTATTTCACAAATATTGCTAAAAACAGTGAGAATTTTAGAATGAGGAAAAGTCATTTTTCTCCCTAATAAGTAAAGTGTTCTCATTTGGTCCTGTTTTTCCCAGCCTTTGTCTTTGTGAGTATATACTTTTGTGTGTGTGTGAATATATACAATTACACGTCACAGTGTAGCATCAACACTGTGTTGTGCCTTTTTCATTCATCATAATTTGTAAGCTTGGAGAGGAGCAGGTCTTGTGGTCTTGCCCTATAAGTCTACACTTGTACAAAGACTCGTTCCTGGAAAACAGAATTGGTATTATAGGACATTAGAAAATATTTGGATTTTTGTTTTATTTTATTTATTTATTTGACAGAGCAAGCAAGCATGAGCTGGGGGAGGGGCAGAGGTAGAGGGACAAGCAGACTCCCTGTTGAGCAGGGAGCTCAACGTGGGGCTCGATCCCAGGACCCTGAGATCATGACCAGAGGCGGAGTCAGATGCTTAACCGACTGAGCCACCTGGGTGCCCCAGAAAATATTTGGAATATGACATGTAAACACGAAACTTTCGTATTGATGATAAGGTTTTTTTATTCCTATTAAACCAAATACTTCTGAGTCAGACCCCATTTCCTCTCCCTGCCTAGGTTTATGCCCGAACCCAACCTGCCTCCCCTGCTGCTCTATGACACCGAGTCTCTGCCTTCTGGCACGGACCCACAGCAAGTGATCAACATTGACTGGATTCGGGAGCGGCTCCCTGAGCTCCCCAGTGAGACCCGGGAGAGGCTTATTCAACAGTATGGCATGCTGCCAGAACAGAGCTTCGCCTTACTGGTAGGTATTGATCAGAGGCTCAGATAAACCCAGCTCAGCCATTTGGGTAATGCTCTACGGTGAGCTCTGAGGAGAGCAGGCAGGTTGCTTCAGTGGTACAAATAGATGCTTCTAAGAATAAGGCACAACACCCTTTGCTCATTTTCCTTGATGGTGAATACTCCTCATAAAACCAGAAGATGAAGCAGAATCTCATGTCAGTCATGTCTTCTGTGCAGAGATGAACAGCTGCTCACGGCAGCGCGGAGGCTTCTTGAAGACAGTCCAAATGTTGTGGATGAATGTTTTCCCATGTACCTGCAGGACAAAAGAAAGTCGATGTATAGGGTTTCTGAATGTCTAGCAGTATTGAACCATGACAGGGTCTGGTAGGAAGTTCGGTCCTCAAAAGCCAGCCAGCTGTTTCTCCAGTGGTTGAAGAAAAACATTTATTCCGCACGAAATGTTGAAAACTCTGACTCAAAGTGTCGGTCCTTTGAGGCTCGAGGATGCGTCTTAAGGGGCCGTTAGCGAGTCTGACACCACTGAGACCTGCTTAGGGATTTTCCACTCTTTTCAGAGCTGCTCGGGGCTTTGCCGTTTTCTTTGTCATGGCAACATTAAAGTGACGCTGCGTCACCGAGGGTAGGGTTTTGTCACAGTTGTCTTCCGCTTGTCTGTTGGGGAGGAAGTAGGAAGTTTTGCCACTGCATGCTTCAGGGATGGGATATCTGCCACACTTACCTTCTGGAGCAGCAGAGTCTGCGCAGAATGTGGGTTTTTGCATTTTAATTGATCAATAGTAACTATCTAGGGATGTTAGTACATACATATTTCTATACTTCAGTGAGAGCAGTCCCACTGCTTCTGGTACAAGGTAGGCAAGTGAATGTTTGTTGAGTAGAAGGTTCTCTCTTTACAAATCAGCTTAGACAAAAACTCTCCAGAGAGTCTCATGTGAACACTCCTTTTTCCCTCCCAGGGATGATTGGGCAGGCCTCCCAGATAGGTTTCCATACTTCGGGCAGGGGTGACCACTGCCCATTGCCTCCCGCTGGCTGCTGTCATAGCTTAGTCATAACTCTGTGATGGTCACATGGCTGGATTTTAATCACTGCTTATTGTGACTTGTTCAGCCCCTTGCAGGCCAAGACTGTGTCCCCTTCTCACTCACTGTTCCTCAGCACAGCCTGGCACACCAGCAGTGCTTAACACCAGGTTTTCGACTGCAAGAGTCAGTTCGCATCTCAGACAGAACCCCTTTTAACCTGAGGCCTCTTACCACTCATTTTCCCTGGGTTGATTTAACCCACCTGAGGTTTAGTCCTATCTATCTTCCCTACTGTGTGATGAATTTCCAGCCCACTGGAAATCAATTCCGTACTAAATTCTAAATGCTAAATTCCTGTCCTGCATTTTATAACTGCCAGATCCCACAGGGGATGGGAGGACTGGGACAGAGTCTCCAAGATGTTAGTTATCTGTCTTCGTTTGGCCTTCTACCAGGTGAACGGAAGCAGCCCTTGGAGGTAGCATCTGAAGAAAACCCAGGTTTCTTGGTGAAAAGACCTTTCAGAAACTCCTCTCAGGAATATGGTTATTTCTCTCCATGGCATTATCTGCAAACATAGGCTCCCTTCAGAGAGCATCTCTCTAGCACTGTCATGCTTGGCCCCTGATGAGCACATGATGGTAGAGGGCTCCTCGGGGAGAGTCAGTCCTCTGAGGGCAGGGACATTTTCGTGTTCATATCTGGGTCCCAGGCTCCACATTTGTGTCCTTCACAGGAGACCTTGAATAAATGTTTGCTGAGGTTGCCCAGGGAGTGGTTCAGAGTTTAAGGTCCTGCTGAGGGGAACCTGTCTTTCATCTTTTCAGTACACAACTTTTGTTTTGCATCTCCTGTGTGGTAGGTAGTCGGGGACAAAGATCTTCAAAAAGGTGTTTCTTTGTTTTCCAAGAGTACGTACGTACACACACACACACACACACACACACGACACAGCTAACCAGGGAGGTAGTGATTATCTTGATTGGAACAAAAGGGGAAAACTTCCACAAGGAGGTGATTTTGGGGCCAGTTTTGGAGGGACTTTTAATATCTTAAAAATGTGCTTATTTTTATAGCTTGCAGATCTTGTGTTAGGTGATTAGTTTTGTTTTTGTTTTTGTTTTTTAAAGGGCTAGTCCTTGAAATTTCCAAGATGAGTGTAAAGAGACCTTAATAGCAATGGAAAGAGAATGATTCAGAGAAATTATTTCCCTGAAAGTGGGCATCCTGAGCTCTTTATGACTTTGTAATCATTGAAAGCTGAGCTACTCAGACCCAAAAATGATATGTTCATGTTTTTTCCTGCCTTCATCAGAAACACAACAGATTGCTGAGAAGGGCAGATGCACAAATCTAATGAACCATCTTTCAATTTAAAGAGTGCCCAGGAGTATTCATTAAATAAATCACAGCAGTGGAGGTGTGCTTTGCAGAGCTTCGGCTCCACGCTCTGTGCCTTCGGACTACTGATTCCGTGAGGCATTAAGGCGCACGCCAGCCCTCACACATGTGCCTGACCCACACGGACTAAAAACCGCAGAATTCAACTCTAGTCTGTAATTTGCCTTGTCATCTTATGATGCAGTAAGCCCCATTATGTATTGGTAATTTATGCTCCATGTTTATAGAACTCTAGTATTTTAGCACTTACAGTAATGTCTGGCACCTAGTAGGAACTCAGTGAATATTTATTCGTGAAAGTCAGACTAGTGATACTATGACAATAGTCATGAAAGTCCCAGAAGAAGCAGCATTCCTGATAAAAGCATCCTCGTTTCTAAAGGTCAGATCCATAAACCCCTCCTGACGCCCTAGCAGATCATGGAGTGACAGCTAGCTCATTGAACTCTGGGTGAGAAGCGCGGGACCTCCACTCTAACCACCCCATGTGCTGTGTCCAGATGCAAGTCACTTGGCCTCTCCGCTCTTGTTTTCTAAACTGGTCTTGTTAGGACATTAAATCCAATCTACATCCTGGTTTTCTCTCTTAAACCCTCCTGACAGTTCCCTCCTGACAGAAAACCTGTGTTACTGTTTTTTCCCTTTGGTCACATAAAAAGTATCTTGCCCCACCTGAAGCTTCAACCTATTTAGTTAACCTTGCTTCTCTGCCTTGTGTTATGTTGCCTTGATTGCTGACCTCATTTGTAAGCCTTAAGGAATAGAAATGCAGAAGCTGTGATCCAGGTTTTAGGATCCTGAAAAACGAGAGGTTCTAGTAGCATAGCAAGTCCTTCTCTGAGTCAGTATATTCCGGGAGTGATCACAACAATGATCTAGATGATACGCATGTGTGTTTTTCTTAGCAGATAATCCCAGGGCAACGTCTGTGGGGATATCTCTTCCTAAACTCTGCCTTACCTGATTAGGAGAATGCAAACAAATTGTAGTCATTTGCTTAAGCAATACGAGAACATGGCTGCTCGCTGACAGTACGTTCTGTGGTTTATGGTAGGGCACATTTTTTTTTTTTTTAAAGTACGCTCCAGGTCTAACATGGAGCCCAGCGGGGAGCTTGAACTCACAACACTGAGATCAGGAGTTGGACACTTAACCAACTGAACCACCCAGACATCCCACGGGCCACCTTTTTTTTTTTTTTTAAAGATTTCATTTATTATTTATTTGACAGAGAGAGAGATCACAAGTAGGCAGAGCAGCAGGCAGAGAGAGAGGGAGGCAAGCTCCCTGCCGAGCAGCGAACCCAAAGCAGGGCTCGATCTCAGGACCCTGAGATCACGACCTGAGCCAAAGGCAGAGGCTTTAACCCACTGAGCCACCCAGGCACCCCTTCCATGGGCCACTTTTTAATTTACCCTTACAACTGTTTGAGGTAGATATTATTGTTCTCCCCATTTTACAGATGGGGAAACATCAACCATGGTGGAGTGCAGGACATAAAGTAACAGGCAGGCCTGTGGGAGGCCAGGTTCAGTGCTCTGCACTGACTACAGAGCCCAGGCTTTATTTACATTTCTAAGCTTTTCTGCCTGTCTGCACACAGAATGTGCCACAGGGCCAAACAGGAATACGTTTCAGGTTCATTGCTGTTTTGAATCACTTGATAGAGAAAATAGAATCTTTACTTTGTTAATACTGTTTTGGGGGTTTTATTTGTTTTTTGGTTGAGGTTTTCTTTGTTATTTTCCTCTGGGTTTTTTTTTTTTTTTTTTTTAAACTATTTATTTGAGAGAGAGAGCACGAGTCAGGCAGAGGGAGAGGGAGAAGCAGACTCCCCACTGAACAGGGAGCCTGATGCAGGGCTCAGTCTCGGGACTCTGGGATCATGGCCTAAGCTGAAGGCAGATGCTTAAGTGACTGAGCCACCCAGGCCTCCAATACTAATATTTTACCCAGTCTCGCTAATGCTTCATGAAATAGTCCCAGACCATTGGTTCATTTAAAACTTTTAACCACCCCAACTGGGTTTTAAGATGTCAGACTGCCTTAGAAAGAAAGAAAAAGTGCTTTCTCCTAAATTTAGTGAAAATCAGTCAACTCCAGTGAAAAGGAGAAATTGCGTCCATTTTCCAGGTAGAAAATTTAAGTCACAAAAAAAGATGTGAACTGTCCTCCGTAACTTTGTTTTGTTCCTTAAACTTGCTGCCATAGGTTCTTGGCTCCTTCTGAGTGAATCACTGAAAAGGTCTCCATGAGAGGGCAGAATGTGTGGGATTTGTGTGGTTTGTGGGATGATTTTGCCTGTCGAGTCCTGTCATGGCCAGCACATGGTAGGCACTTGGTAAGGACCAGATACAAGCTCACAGGGTGGCCAGCTGTGTATGAATTCAGTAAATGGAAAGATGTCCATCTTGTCAAGATTTTAGTGGAGGAATGGCACGGCATTCCCAATCCAGTGTTTCTTTTTCTTTTTTTTTTATAAGATTTTATTTATTTATTTGTCAGAGAGAGAGAGAGCACAGGCAGACAGAATGGCATGCAGAGGCAGAGGGAGAAGCAGGCTCCCTGC